GTATACTTTGAGACAACGGCTTTCTTCAACCATGACCTCCAATATTGTTTTCCAGTAGTATTTATTTGGATGTATAAGTTTACACAATGCCTTCTCTGTATAAAACTGTATTGATTTTTTTTATGCAGCAAAGATTTAGTTTGCTGCTTCCGAAGTGTGAATATTTGGAGTGCATAAATACCTATGTCTAATGTTTCTATGTAACTAGGATTATTATTACTAATTTTAAAATAACTACAGTTCTGTATGCTGCCTGTAAGAAAGTACTTAGCATTCATTGTATTTTGATACTCATGCCCTCCTGCTTTGGTCTCGTAAGAGACTGGCAGTATTGTAAATAAATAAATAAATAAATAAATAAAACGAGGGGACACAATCTTTCAATGCTATTTACCGCGTGCTTGCAGGAAGTTATCAGAGGTCTATAATGGGAAAAAATTTGAAATAATAATTAATGAAGAGTACTTTAGTAACCTGCGCTTTGCCGATGGTATTGCATTGCTGAGTAAATCAGAGGATGAATTGCACTCCATTATTTCTGAATTAGACAAAAAGCGGAAAAATAAGTCTTAAAATTGCTCTGCAGAAAACGAAGGTAATGTTCAACAACAACTTGAAGAGAACAGCGTTTTGATATAGGTAGCAGTGCACTTGAAGTTGTAAAAGAGTACGTCTGCCTAGGACAGGTAGTAACAGTGGAGCCGAAGAACGCGATCGAAGGAACTAGAAGAATAACAATGGGGTGAAGCACAATCGGTAAGCATTCTCAAATCATGACTGGTATAATGCCACCATCCCTCAAGAGAAAGGCATATAACATCTGCATCTTGCCGGTACTTATATATATTTAGGGGCAGAAACCTCTAGGCTTACAAAGAGGATACAGCTTAAACTGTGAATGTTGCTGTGAGCGATGGAAAGGAATATGATAGGGGTAACCTTAGGAGACAAGAAGAGAGCATGGTGGGCCAGGGAACAAACCGGATGTAAGGATATCATATTTGAATTAAAGAAGATATGTACATGAGCCGTGCACGTAGCATGTAGGCAGTATAACGGTTGGTCATTAAGGGTAACTGACTAGATTTTTAAAGAAGGCAAGCGGATGAGCGGGGACGGAAAGTTAGGCAGATGAGATTAGGAAGTTTGCGAGTATAAAGTGGCAGCAGCTAATACAGGACCGAGTTTACTGGCGGAACATAGGAGAGACCTTTGTCTTGCAGTGGGCGTAGTCAAGCTGACGATGATGATGACGCCGGGCATTTCTACAAATGAATTATTACTACATTAAACAAAGCTGAACTCAAGGCATCTCCGTTGTGCATATTTTGACACAAAATTTGAACATCTGATCATTTCTTTTTATTTTGTTGACGCTGGTCCTATCCGAGAGAAAGATTGATAGATGCCTCATTTTAGAATTTAGGAATAGTGTGCAGTAAATGTTTCAGTAATTTTATCACTTGGCGGCCCTTCATTAGACTACTGCCACTAGCAGAGAAGTCTGTTCTACAATGTTTTAATACATCAAAGCAATAAAAAGACTACCGTGTTAGCCTATTCTGTTATTCAGATTGTTTTTTTGTAATTTCTCGTTATATATTTCTATCAGGAAATAGAGATGGTCTGACCACTCATCCAGTAACTTTTTTTTTTATTTATTCAAAGTTTTATCTCTATACCTATTTTTTATATTGGTTGAAATTTGACAGTTTATAAGTTTAATCACCCTTCCACCCGATTTTCGGCCCATTCCTCTTTGAGGGTATGCACCATGCCACGGCTGTACCATGCACCATCCATATGAAGTCATCGATGTCATCGCCATCAAATTTGGTGGGTGTCAAAACATGGCTACGAACAGGGCGCTTGCAGTGTACAGAGGTGCAAAGATCCGAAAGCGAAACCAACTAGATTCTAACAGTTGTTTGTACTCTCGCGTGTGTAAGGATCCTATTTCGAACGAACGGTTTACTGTGGTTTGACAACCAACGTAACAATTGCGGTAGCTGCGCGATCCGTAGCGGGTCGTATGTTCTGAGAATTTCTTCACATCGTACGAAATCGCTCGAGTTGATCGTGCAAATACCTTATACGGGTTGCCGCGAAGATGTGAGCTGTTTCAGTGATGTCACCAGCGTAGCGGGCAAGCGGTAACAGCTGCAGTCGGCATACCGCGCGTAGGCAATCGCGTTTTTGTCAGCACTGCGCTTTGGAAGCGATTATCGGCGCACAGTAGATTTCAAGGTCTCCGTCACCTTCACTATACGCAATCACCATGACCGTGCCGAAGAGAGACGACCGTAAAAAGGTTGAGTCTTTTCGTTTATCTTAAATCTGCCTAAAACTTTCATTGTGATGCGCGTGCTGTCGCGTTTGTTTACTATAAACACACTGAGGTTCTTCGGGCTCAAATGCCACACACATATGTGTCGCTGATGTCGCATCTTAGACAGTTGTCCTCGAACGTCGTAATGGATTGTCGTGAAGCTGCCTTTGTACAAAAACGACGCGCAATATGTTGAACGATTTAGATGGTGTGTTGCTCTGCGAAAAGGTTAATAAAACACTACAGCAATCCTTTTCCTAGTGACCTTGTACCGTGTTGGTAGTTGTTAACTGCTGTTAACGGCATGTCTATCAAAAGTCAGGTGTTCCGTTTTTATAAACGAGTTTTTCGCATTCGTAGTAGTAAAATCTGGGTGAACCGTGTTACAGTATCACAGCGTTTCTGCCGATATTTGACAAAACGTTTAGCTAGGTTGCCAAAAAAATTTGCCCATAACAAAGTCAACATCAGCCTTGTAATATTGCCCCTATTGTTCCTATTCAAACGAATTATTGAAGTGTGCCGTAACACTCGAAGCACTATATTGCTTCGAGTGTTACAATACACTTCAATAATAACATTCACAGCATGGAAACAGTAGCAGCTTAGGTTTCATTCATTTTGCGCTATATTAGTTTACTGCCCATAGACGCCTATTCACTGTACAGTGATGTGTCGTTTTCGTTCTATATCTCGAACGTGTGCAACAAATAAAATAAGCAGAACTGTTATAGTCACCAACTACCTACCTGTAAATTGCTGGCATGCCTATTACACCGACCAATGTGTAACACACCAGAATGAAACTAGAACAAACAATCCAAAAAAAAAAAACTTGAGAGATCCTTAAGCTTCTTGTTTAGAGTTGAACGCGATAGCGATATCCTGTCCTGAGTATGTAGCTCAAACAGTGCATGAAATCTTTTTGAACTTGCCCTGAACCCACGAAGTGTGCTCAAGCAAAAGTGCGCAGTAACATGTGTGCCTTTTATAGTGAGTGGTTGGCTTTAAACTAGGATGACCTGACGCCCAATAGATGCATGTAGCACACAATATTGCCGCAATAGTTCATATTGTATTGTGAAGCATGTATACTGGAGGCATGTGTTTGTAAATCGTGAAAGTTACTTTCGCTGGATTTCCAAGCTGAGGAAGTTATTTATCACTGCATTCACAAGCAGACACGGGGCTCTAAGGTGTAGCGCCTGCTTGCCAGGCAAACGACCCAGGTTCGACTTCCACTTGGATCAAGCATTTTTCGTTATTTACTTTATTTGCACCTTTTTGAATTTATTGGTCACGCACAAGATGACGACTTTTCGCTCACAACCAAACGACGCTGAGACCGATGTCGAAATTTCTGCAAAGTGAGCTCTAATGCTATCACGTTAAAAATTACGTGGCACTAACATTATCACATTAACAATGGAATATTGTGAGTTTTCTATGATCCTTTGTTTGTGTTTATTTCAGTTCGTACTAGTCTCGAACATTGTAATGAACCAACTCACTCGACTTCATCATTAATTCAGCGCATCAACCCTGTTCACTTTCTTTTCCTTCAGCATGTTCATTTTGTTTGGTTCTCTGCGACTAAATGGCTTGTGTCAATTGTAATTAACGCGGCTAACAGCTACAAGAGTATAGCAAGAAAATTTTCTGTGGTTGAACGGGGTTCAAGTAGTATATATATGTACATGTGCATGCATTTGCAAAGTTTGCAAAAATGCAAAATAAAAAATATTTGAGAAACAGGGAAGGTTTGAACCTACCCCTCCCCCACAGCTTTGCCAGTGTTGAGCATAACAGGAAATTGTCGAACTGGTTCTGATTCTCACTTGAAAAATGCAAAAAGACAACCGCCAAACAAAAGCAGAAAAAAGGAGTACAACTCACAATAAAAATAGGAATTACACAATAACAACACACATTTATAAAGTCCTGTGAACCTTCACCACAATGACCAATAGAAACTGTCACCTAAAAAAGCACTTTATCCCAAGCATGTGTTGAATAAATGCTATCTCGGAATCTTATAAGCTAACTGAGGTGTGGCTTATGCACCTAGAAGCTGTGCATAAGCTGTGCATTCTTACTATTTGTCTTCTGGCACCTTTTCAAGTACCGTATTTCCTTTTAATGCAGTATTCTCAAGATTATTGCAATGTAAAGTTCACCTTGGTTCTCAATCGAATACACTCTGAAAAAAGAGCGACCAAAAAAGGTGCATTTTTGTCCCACAACAATATTCGTCATCTATATTGCGTTCCATCCTTGCGCTATCGCTTCCCGCCCTGTACATTCCGGTCACGATCGACATGCCCATTATCAGGGTTACATTGCATTCTCGGTAGGAAAGTGGCCAGCGCCAAGTTTTCAAGAAAGGAAACGCACGCAAGCCTGATGACGATTATTGTTATGGGACAAAAAGACACCCTTTTTACTGGATATTTTTTTAGAGTGTACCAAAATACTATCTCTCCTTCCAGGACACAATGAAAAGCCATCCCATGCATTACAATCGAGGAAATACGGTATACGCCGGTGTTATTTATCTTATTTCTACAAACATCTACAAACATCCTGATGAACGCATATACCGCGGCAGACAGCACTGTTGTTGTCATTACTCGGTGCTGACGCTAACTGTTGCCGCCTTGCCTAATCGCAGACTGTCCTGGACAGCGCTGGCAAACTCGATTTCGGCGAGTTCGAGCTGCAGCTCTTCGACAGCCGCTACATGAACAAGCGGTCGCAGACCTCCGACTCGATGAAGCTTGGCAACTGGCTGAAGCCGTCATGCATCCCCATCACCATCATCCTCTTGCTCATCGTCCTCGTCGTCCTCTTCCCTCTCCTGGGCCACTCTCGGGACGGTGGCTTCGCATCCAAGAGCGCTGGAAAAAATGGCAGGCCTATCAACTGCCTTGACTCATGCTCGTAAGCGTATTTATCTTTTAGTTAGTTGTCCACAATAAGATAAATGTTGCTAAAGGAACAGGGAGATTGAGAAAAACTTGAAGAACACTTGAACTTTGCATTCAAGGGCAGAACCGAATAGCATGATTGGGCACTGTGCGCATCGCCTTCTCAATTGCAAGCCTGCCTTCGGTTCTCGGTGCAGGTCTTAACAGTGCCGTTTGGGAGGGATTGACTGTGTGTGTAACATTAGCCATTCCAAACTATGCTAGACTGCCTACTCCTAGTACAGTTAAGTGCCCTGTATCAATTACAAATTGGCAAAGTGCCCACTGTCAGGGTCATAACGGGGGTTGAGTGTGTGCTGCTGACCACCCTGAAATTATTTTCATGTTCTCACTTTTTCAGTCGGGTGATACTAAAATATTTGCATGCCTTCACAATGACCACCAAGTGCCAGCATTAGCCACTTCGTGCAAAACCAGACCCCCCCCCCCCCAAAAAAAGAATAATTCATGGATACGGCTCTGCCTACTCTTGCATCCATAAGGCAACACCTGCACTCATGCAGAAGCACATTTTCTTAATGCTGGTGGTGATAATGATGATTAATTATGCCCATGTGCTTTGTAATTGCAAGGCCTTTAAACCAGCTACTCGTGTAATTCGCATGTCGATGCCTGGTGGCATTGTGTGATCTTGCCTCACAATATTGCATTCCGTTAGGGGACTTGTAATAGATAATGTTTGTGCAGGGTTTTTTCCAAAACAGTTGCAAGCACTGGTAGAACACTTGCATTGGTAAAACACTGGTAGAGCATTGATAAAACACTTGCTCGCCATGCAGAGGTTATGGGTTTGATTCACACTCGAACCAAAGATCTTCAATATTTATATATTTGCATCTGTTTCAAATTTTCACTCCCCACCAACGATGCTAATGCTAGCGCTGATGCTGACACTGGAATATCTGTGTAATAAGCTCTTTAATGCTACCACTTTAAAAGCTGATTGGTATTTACTTTGTTTGTCAGCCATTCTGACACCTTTGACTGTGTCTGTTTTAGTCTGCAAGTATATCCCGAGTAAACCAGTGAGGTAGGCTGATGTTCAATCATGTTTAAAATTGTGCTAAGTGGTCACTACTAGTGGTCATGCATCATCATCGTTGTCATGTATGAGAATCTTTATTCTTGGTTCATCGTAGCGATCGGCTGTCGGCTCTTCAGGCCCAATAAAGGTCATCCAAACCAAGACCTCATAAAATATACATATATAGGCTGTACTTCATCTTTAAATTTGTGCTAAGTGGGTAATACATGAACGAAAAAACACTAGACAACACATTCAGCACTTGTGCTCAAGTTGTCGCATCTCCTATTTGTTAGTGTTTTTTCGTCCATGTATTGCCCATTTAGCACAAATTTGAAGATGAAATATACACATATAGGCTGTATTTCATATGTAGGCTGTATTTCATCTTTAAATTTGTGCTAAGTGGGCAATACATGGACAAAAAAATGTGTTGTCTAGTGTTTGGATGACCTTTATTGGGCCTGAAGTGCCGGCAGCCGACTGCTACAATGAACCAAGAATGAAGATGCTCATACGTGACAATGGTGATGATGCATGACCAATACGTGGTGATGATGATAATGTACAGATGAAGGGGATTTGTATAGTAAATGGCCACAATATACATTTTAGACAACCGCATAGCAGTATTCATGGTATGCTAGTGTTAATCTTTACAGTTTTAATTTCGAATCTTTACTTCCTGAACTTCCTTTTTCTGTGCAATATCAGATACATGCATGTTCATTTATATGCCTGGTTCCAGATTTACACTCGTGGAAAGCATACCGGAGAACTTGACGTTTCCTTCCGGATCCCCGTCGCACGTCAGCACCTATGACGGCTGGAAAACTCTACTACAGCTAGCCACAAAAGAGATAAAGATAGCCTCCTTTTACTGGACTCTTCGAGGAAGCGACATATACGAAGACCCGTCCGATTGGCAGGTGAGATACGACTCGAAAACAGAAGAATTGGACTTGCAGAAACCGCCTGTACTCGATTACAACCTAACGAAAAAATTGGCAGCTCTGCCCACACCTCAGAGAATCTGCGTAGAATCGCAAGTTAAAAAAACAATGAAGAAAATAATAAACAAATGTCTATCTCATCAATATACTTTTGTTTTTTTAATAAACAACGATGGTGATGTGGACTGCTGCACCTTGGCTCGGTTGTCCTTGAAATCTACTTTCACTCCTTTGCTTCGCATATTTGCGGTGCTTGACACTCGGCGTGCTCCGAGGTCCGTCTGAATGAACTGTATTGCAAAGACCAAAATAATGAGAGTTTAATGGGCGGAGCTTTCATTTTTTATTAGCTTATAGGTAGTACATTTAGAATAATCAGGAGCCAGGCACAAATAGATCTGCTAAAGTATAACCGACTTGACAAATTGCAAACTTAGGCTTCACAAATTATCAGCCTAAAGCTCGTCTTGTCATTCGACCGCGATTGGCAACTCTGCATCAACTAGGATCCTGTTGTATTCAAGAACGCGGCAGAATTATTTGGAAGCAACTTTGCTTTTTTTTTACTTGGTCGCCTAAATAGAACTTGACCACGTGGGTGGAAGGCAATTTATAAATGGTACACTTTAACTACTGATCAGAACATGAATTGCACTTCCATGAATTGCACTTTATCACACTTCCACTTACCTCAAGTTTTCCAAATAATGATGAAGTGTGTTCACATTATCAGTTATCCATTATCCATTAGTATATCCATTATCCACATTATCCATTATATATCCTTTGTCCACATTATCTATTCGTATGCACTAGAAAGAATTTTTGGGAAGCCTAGTGCAAATCTAATGGACTTTTAGAATAAGAAACTATAAATGTGTGTATGGAACATTTCAATATGATTGGTAGAGGTATAAATCTGAGATGCATCTGAGGAGCTTCTGCATCTTTCACTAAACAAATTATTCATTGTATACAACAGGGTGAAGACATATTTAAGGAAATCGTCATGGCAGGCAAAAATCGGTCCGTCGACATTAAGATTGCACAGAACATGCCGAGAGAGAAAGAGCCGAACCTGGACACGCAAGATCTCGTTAGTCAAGGTGAGTTCTGCGGGTTTTCTGCTGAAAAGCAAAAATAGACTTGTCATTTTCACACTAGGTGTAAGTTGCCGGTTTCCAGTTTGCCAGGATCCATTTATGTAGAAGAGTTGCTCAGCTGAATTGAAATGAAGTGCGGGGCTTTAAGATGAAAACTTACAATGAGTGAGTCATCGAACAGTTTGCTAATGCGCCATATGGATGCACACGAATGCACAGCTGTTAAGAAAAAATTTATAGACACTGTGCCTAATATGAATTCCAACATAAAGCATACTTTTGTATGAATCATACTTCACTTTACGGAAACGTGAACCCAGTGTACGCTTTGTCGCTGCGTTGAGTTTTCTGTTCAAGTGACTAAAGAAACACTCGCTACAGGTGATTAGCATGGCTTCTTTTACGCAGTACGAGGTCATATCAGGTTACATCATTTGGGTTATGTGATATGGCGTCATGGCTAGTCACGTGACATGTTTGCATCAAAATCAGGCAACATGAGGTCATATTTAGTCATGTGACTCATTCCTGCAAAAATTGCATAAAACGATTTAACAGCCAGTCGCATGACATGCTGTGATACCTTGCAAAAACTAGCAACAATTACCAAACCTATGAACAACTTAGCTATGCTGGGACTAGTTAGGAAAACCTTGCTCAGCTCCACTGTGACCCACCCAGCCTTGCAATGGCTAATGCAAACTGCCCATATTTTTATTGTATGTAACTCGAACCAGCTGGTTCTAAATGAAACTTAACACTCACAACTGTTGGAACTTAGCTTATGATAACAATTACTATTGTTTCAAACTTGATCTTAACTTCACAGCATATTGCAGCATGAGATGAATGGTGTTTTCAGGTATTGCAACTGTGAGGAGCGTTGACTTTGATCATCTCATGGGTGCTGGTGTTCTCCACACAAAATTTTGGATTGTCGACAACAAGCACATCTATGTCGGAAGTGCTAACATGGACTGGAGGTCTCTGACTCAGGTTAGTGAATACGCCATTTTTAAGGCCCCCCCCCAGCACTTTTCGAGCATGTTCAGAAAACGCATACGATCGTTAGTGGGACGGTTACGAGAACATGCAGACCAAATATTACAGCACAGCACATGTCCTGGAATTCACAATAACTATTCAATTAGCTAAGAATGGCTTTTTCTTATCTCAACAAATGACGCTACCGGCCAAGTGTCAGCCCTTGGGTGATTCGGGCATAGCACGCTGGGCCATTACTGAAGCCACTGCAGACTTTTCGAAGCGTACACGCACAATCGCCCTGAAAAGTTGTGCGTTAGAATAAAGAAAAAAATGGAGAAAAAGTGCTCAAGGTCACGAGGCAAACGCAACATTTTTTTCCCCCGTGCCATTCCTCCCTGCTGAGCTTCCAGTGCTTTTGCTTGGACGAGAGAAGAGAGAAAGCAGTTGCAAAGTGTGACAAATGTTTGTGACCCCGCTCATAGTGGACGAATCTTATAACTTTTTGCAGCAGTGAATTTGTGAGTCTATAGGCTTTTTCAGTGAATCAATTCAATGGCTTCTTGAACAAGTGTTGCAGGGCCCCTTTCAGGTCTCGAAGAAACGCCTGAGCATCGTGTAGTAGCCTTCTAAGCTTAACCCATGAAAATAGAAGCAGAGGTGTAATGCGTAGGGGTTGTTAATATTATAAGTGGTTTTTGATTATATTTAACAACCTGTAAACTTTCTTGTAGGGACTTTTTTCTCATTAATACATTTCCGAGCTTCAGCATTATTCTTTTTCTGCAATGTTCTGACAAGTGTATTAGAGAGAGTTTGCTGTAACAAATATTGGATATTTTTGTGCCTGATGTAACTTCACTGTAGTGAGCTTTGAAATGTACTGCATCATTTGAATGAGTACACAAATTACAATTTCTAGCTTATATGATATGCTTTAGCTAATTCAAACTCAAGGGGACCCCAAAATTTAGTACAGTTTATCAGAAGTTCCCAATAAAATATAACTCTGTGCAGCTTACAAACTAGTATTGTAATATTTACTGTTTTTAGATCCCATAGCAACATGATAAACTGCTGTGCGTGATTGCCGTCGAAGGTATTAGATGCCAAGGATCATACTTGTGCTCGTTATTACAATACTGGCACGCATTAAGAAACTAAATGTGTTGTGTTCTCTGATAACCAGTAGTGACTGCATATTTTTAGACTGCTTTTTTACGTGACACTTGCATACTATGGCGAAAGGGACCTTAAGCGCATTCGGAACGTGACGGACCTTCCCTTTTTTTTTTTGCTTTTCATTCTCAGTCAGCATACGATTGTTGGTGCATACTGTTGGGTTAGTTTGGCGATATTGTAGGCCGGCCACCAGCTTTACTTGAGACTTTTAACAACTTCAAATTGAGAGTGGTATTCAGCGAGAAGCAACAAAGACAGAAAATATTTCCAGGCATAGACCAGCAAAGGCTTTAGCTTACAGAATTTGTGCCCTGGAGCAGTTTGAATTAGGTGAACTCAAAGTACCGTAATTACTCGAATCTAATGCGCACCTTATTTTCAATCAAGCGAGTTCATAAATCGCATGCGCTTTAGAATCAAGTACGAAAAAAAAAATGAATTCGGTCATTCTATTGCCATTGGCATTCCAAAATGGCCGCCCCCTAAGTGCATCGGCATGGCGCGCCGGCCATTTCTGCCTATTTGTTTTCCATGTGCGGCACTTTGTACGTGTGCTGAGGAGTTCGTCATCTTGTAGTGCATTAGCATCGACGGCATGGAAGGGCCTGCTTCAAAAACTTGACGAGTGCACCACGATGCCGCTTTTAAAAGAAAAGTTATCGCGTGTGCCAAAACGGACGTAAATTGGGCTGCATCGTGGTCGTTCGAAGTTCCCGAAACGTGCGTGCGGGACTGGCGGAAACAAAAGCAGAATATTGTCGACAGCAAGGATTCACGCAAAGGCTTCAGCGAACCACAGCAGGGTCGGTTTCCGCAAATTGAAGAACTGCTCGGCGAGTATGTGATTGAGCAGTGAGCGGTACAGCGGCCCGTGACGACAGAACTGCTCCAAGTGCAGGCTATGCAGTTAGCTTTAGAAAAAGGGCTAATGCGGAGCCAGCTTAAAGCGAGCAGGTGCTGGCTAACTAATTTTATGAAGAGGAAAGGCTTTTCCCTCTGAAGGCGAACGGGCTTATGCCAAAAGTTGCCGGAGGAGTACGAAGAAAAGCTTCAGTTTTCAGAGGTTCATCCTAAACTTGCAGCACAACAACGGTTCCCTGCTTGGGCAAATCGGGAATGCCGATGAGACGCCTCTTTACTTCGACATGCCTGACACCACAACCGTCGAGAAGAAGGGGGCGAAGCAAGTTCGCGTGCCGACATCGGGCCATGGTAAAACTAGAGTGACGGCAATGCTCCGTTGCACGTCAGATGAGCACAAGCTTCCCCCGTACCTCATATTTAAACAGAAGACGCTCCCGAAAAGAGTCTTTTTCTCGAGTGGTGTGATCGTGTGGGCCAACGAGAAAAATGGGTGCGCGTTGCGATCGATGTCTTACTTTTTTTTTTTCGTCGTGGAAACTGGGTGCGCGTTACAATCGAGGGCGCGGTAGAATCGAGTAAATACGGTATACTGAAAACATAGTGGTCCAACAGAAAATTTTAGGAGTTATTTTAATTAATTGAAAGTTTGAATTATCAGTGCTTTAATTATCGAGTCTATTCTAGGTGTGGGCAGAACACAAATGCCCGAAATGTGTAGAGAGGATTTGATTCTTTAGCAATCACAGACTTCTAGCCTGCTTGGTACGACACATATGTAGTGACTTAGCGCAGATTTCTTAAGGCGGGACAAGACGAAAGATACGCACGCAGGCGCTAACTTTTAACAAATTCATTAGGGTGGTCAGTCGGGCAGGTTGGTACATAGTCTTGGCGGGAATCCTAGCAGGACCGAATGAAGCAGAAGAACCCGAGACAAGAAAAAGAGACTGAGCCAGGAAGGATGCAGCATCCCCCCTTTCCCTCCTGCTTCATTTCATGCTGCTGGTATTTTCACCAAAACTTTCAACAAATGGGGATTTGGTCTTTATTGGTAAATTTTGTACAGGTTAAGGAGCTTGGTGCGCTCATCTTGAACTGCGGCTGCCTCGCCCAAGACTTGAACAAGGTGTTCCAAGTATACTGGGACCTCGGCGTTCCGAACGCCACAGTTCCGGCCCACTGGCCCGCAGATCTCAGCACCGACATTAATGTCGAGACGCCTGCCGACGTGGACTTCAATGGCACGTCGACACAGACGTACTTTTCGGTGAGGGCAGATGGTGTTTCTCTATGACGTTCACTGTCGTCTGTTTGTCTGTTATCTGCTTCCTGTCAAAGGTCATATAATTGGAATGGTCATGGCTGGTGGTGGTCTGTACGTCGCCTTTAGGTGGATCCAGCTTAGGTGGATCCAAAAATGTTTCTGTAGGTGGTTTAGGTGGATCGAAAAATGTTTCTGTAGGGGGTTTAGGTGGATCCAAAAGTGTTACTGTAGCTGGATGATAAGCATACTTTTTCAGCAGTGGGTCTTTATGTTGTCATGGGTAAAATGCAGCATGCATGTAAACGATGCACTAAACAGAAGAAGCAAACAGGCACTGACTCTCGGAGGAAATTTTTTATTGGAAGGAAAACAATAAATGCCTAGACTTATCACAACCATGTGGCCCAAAGAATGCAAAAAAACTGGAAGTGCAGGAAAGAACTGTTCAACTTGAATTTTTTTATACATCATTTGTTACAGGTGTAAATTTAAGGGCTCGTTTTTTGTTTGGTTAGACACAATATCAATGGAACTAATAGACAGTTATGCCAAGCAGAGTATAAGGGATGTTATTTGGAGTAATTGCATTGAAAATGGAAAGAAAAAAGAGTTGACAAAAAGATAGCTTGCCACCGGCAGAGACTGAACTGCAACCTTCGATTAACATGTCCAATGCTCTCTGGTGAAGGGGGGGGGGCTTAAATTGACATGGAAATTTGAAATTTGCAGTGAAATCGGAGAAGGTGCTTGTTCAAAAGTTTGTGGTGTACGCATAACCTAGGTAAGCTTTACGCACACGCAGAGTTCCCCGCCACCTTTCTGTCCTGACGGACGTACCACGGACATTGACAGCATCCTGGACGTCATTGCGAGTGCTGAGAAGTTCATCCACATTGCAGTCATGGATTACCTTCCTGTGACTCTTTATCAGAAGCCAACAAAGTAAGCTTCTAGGTCCTCTCCTACCCCTATTGGCAGCGAAGGTGACCTAGAGAGGCCACGTAACGAATCACGTGACGACTATGCCATCGTCAGTGCAGCGTGCTTGCTCTCAACCCTGAGGCAGCTCATTTTCAAGCTTACAAGTTTGTTTACCACTCGATGCCCCAGTGCTGGACGCATTCGAGCGAGGCTTAATGCGGACGAGTTCTTCCGAAATGTTGCGGCATGGATATATATAAAGTCGCCGACAGACTTTGCAAACCTGGCAGGGATCGTGAAATAGAGGAATAGTCCGAAAAATAGAACAGTCCGAAAAAGTGATCAAGCCGTGAAAACGAAGTTTATTTGGAATAAAAACCTAAAAATAGTCTCTACTAATGTCATGCTTCATGCTGCTCATGAGAACCAGCAAATTTGGTTCTATTTGGTAACATTGCTGGTAAGTCCGTTTGAAATAGCTGCCACCGACCGTTGCGGGCAGCAAAGTTGGTGTCTCCTTGGAAACAAGCAAACAAAACTTGATGCAGTTGCAAAAAGATTCAGGCAACATCTGGCCTGTTTGGGGAATTTAACAACACGATCTGGGCTTCTTTTACCTGCACCGACATCGCATAGTACGTGAGCCTGCAATATTTTGCCACCATGTACACAATTTATTTATTTATTATTTATTTTATTGATACTGTAAGCCTTAACAGGCTCATACAGGAGTGGGAAGAATTTATACATATTGTCATCTTCACATTAGACAACAGAACAAAAAAAAATAGAATGAACAGTACAGACTACTCTAAACAAGTACAAGTTACAACTGTACATCTAGTCGAAGAACCAAGAAATAAAACAGAATAAAACACCACAGGCTAACAGGGAAGAGTGCATATTAGACACAGATCTGAGAATTGGAACATCGAGTGGCATACAAATCAAAACGTACATTCAATGAAAAGTTGCGCCATTATTTTACAACGCTGCAACTTACTGATCCAAAAACTTTTCAAGATTGGCAGTGAATGATTCGAGAGATTCTGAGGACAATATATCACGTGGCAGGTTACTCCATATTTCTATTACTGACGGGAAGTAGGAATACTTAAATGAATTGCAACGGGAGATGAAAGGCCTGATACTCTTGTCGTGGTTTGTTCTAGCGGAGCGCTGACATGGTGGTTTCAAGTACTCGTGTTTGTTGATGTTAATGTTGTCATGATAAAGCAGATAAAGAAATTTTAATGCAGCTATGCGTCGCCGGATCGCCAGTGTTTGAATGCTTGCCCTATTGCGGAGCGCGGTTATGTTGGCATCTCAAGAATACTGAGAATACACAAATCGGAGCGCTTTATTTTGTATTCCCTCCAGCTGGTTAAGAAGGTAAGTTTGATGCAGATTCCAGATTACACTGCCGTATTCGAGGATTGGTTGTACAAGGCATTTATAACTTGTTAGTCTAACTTTGGAAGGGGCTAGAGCGAGTTTCCTGCGAATTCATGTATGTACACATATGAATTTTCGATGTTTAGTCACGCCAAGCCGGTAGGCTTTTTCCAGCTGTCTGCAACTCAAGGGCAGCAAGAATGATTTTGTTGGGATGCTGTTATCTTGCATTGCATATATGAACATCTCTCTCTCTCTCTGTTAGCTGGGCTGCTAGTAAACAAATTGGTTGATGCCAGAGACCGGCAGAGTCCCTGAAAACAAGATACGGTAATTGTAAATAATAGCCAAGCAAGCGATGCTTGCAGGTATTGCAACATTCTCGCATCACTTCACATTAATCAATACACTCCGCGCAGAAAAGCATGTGTGCGGAAAGCGAAAATTAAGGAGACAAAAATATATGCGGGTAAAGTTCTACCCATGAGAATGTATTTGTTATCATTAATCGTCCGGTATTATTTCTTGTCAAAGTAGCAGGCTGCACAAACCGCGATTGTTGTTAACAGTAATGTTACAGCGTAAAAGAGCTCATGGATACCTTTATGAAAGATCACACGGACTTAAAAACCAATGCGAAAGCATCGTTCGCCTTTAGCCATTTGACACCGCTCTGAAAACTCGGGCAAGACGTTGCCATGAATCGTGCACAGCAGTCCACACAGGTCGAAACGTAACTTCTCGGCCACGCACTTTACGTGCAAAAGCAAGAGAAAGGTGAACGCCATCACGACTCGGTAAACAAAAAATCACCGTTTAATGTGAGAATGCTTTGATTTACAGATTACTAGATGAATTTCATAACGAGCCATCTTTTACCGGAGCGCCTCTTCATGATGTGCGTCCATGGGGCGATGTGCACGCGCTCCTTTGAAAGTGCACGACACGGTGAAGACTGCACGTTGGCTCGCTATAAATCTTTGTTGGCAAACACTCTAGGTTGTTTTGCAGCTAATACAAATGCAAGCAGTGTTTGAAAAGCAAGAAAAGCCGTGGTGGAAGAGCCTAAATCGCAGGTGTTCTCAAACACGTCGCACAGCCAGTACCACAAGATGTAGTTTTATACCTTACAAAAGGATTCCGGCAGATGGCGCCACGGTATGCTCTCGTCGCCGGTGGCACCAAATGTGGACAAAATGTTACTGCGACAAAATGTTACTGCTACATTGAGAAAGGATTTTTAATGTTGTGGGAACATTATGTGTTACCAAGGGCCCTTGTTTTCTGATGACAGATCTTGCGGTCATCAGATCTTGCGGTCATCAGATCTTGCGGTCACAGATCTTGCGGACATTTTTATGCCCTTTTATTGATGTTCACTGAAACACGTATAGTCCAACTTAGTAAGAGGGTGTGGTCACACAGTCATCGGAATGTTTTAGAATAATGGTAAAGAGCAAATGAAAAGAGCAGATGTATTGTGTGGTATACACTGTACATGTGCAGAACGTAAACATAGTTGGAACTCTGACAAATGCACAGTATTTTCGAAATACAGCATTCAATGCTAACGAACATGAGAAGAACCATGCCAAAGGCAGCACAACGTTGCTTGTTGAAGTGAGAGTTCTCAGCTTTAGATGTGTCGAGTTGTCAGCCTGCACTGCTGAGCCGACTCACTCTGCACCGAGGCTCATATTAGTTCAGACTTGGGTAATGATGCTTTGCTAACTGTGGTTAAGTGACAGTGTACTCTGACATTACATTAGGTCGTAAGTTACCCTTTGAACACCAGTGTAGTCTACGTTCTTGATAAGTTTTCGGTGTGCACATGGCTGCTACGCTTACAAAAACGCGTCGATCCACGGACTAACACTTGGTAAAAGCCAAAAAGTGCAGCCTATGCAGATGGGGCCATGCAGATGGGGCCAGATGCATTTGCGTAAGCAATAGCGTTTCACTCCCTCCTGCTGTATTGAAGGCTAATTTGTGCCACTCACTGCACACTCACTTAGTGCTAGCATTGAAATGTACAGTAATTCTCTCATAAGTGCTTTCCAATATGCTGAAACTATGCCATGTGGTATGCTTCATAATCGTCTCAGCTGCTTGTCTCTATGGTCTAAATGCTCATCCTGCTGTGTAATGTGGTGCACAACCACATCAGTCTCTTTTATCTCTGTGCACGTCTAAAAGAAGTGTTGACACGAAATTTTCAAATGGTAGCTTATTTTTATTTTTTGGCTAGTGAAATACGAATCATTTTAATTTCTTACTGTACCCTCACGAAACGACACTGTGTGAGCTTCCTGTCACCTGCTTACACAAGGTATCGTGTGTCTCCATGGCTGCTTCACTGCTTGGCTCCATTGGTGGCGCACAAGCGTACATTCTAAATGCTCAAGGTGATCCACAAGCAGCCATATCTTATGTTTTGGTGCATGATGTCAGTACAACTAGCCACACTGGTGCGGGAAGTCACCAGAATTGACACTGTAGCCTGATGTTGCACTAGTGTCGGAGTCACTGGGTTCACCATGCAAAAATTTATCTTATTACCCAACTGAACACTTGCCCAAAGTTGCCTCTATAACAGGAGATTTGTATGATGTAGACTCACTTTCGAAAAGTAGTGTCAGTACCTCTTTAAAGGCGTTCTGCTAGAAAAAAAACGCTACCCTTGAACCATGTTTCGTTCAACGCAGATTCTGGCCTCGCATAGATGATGCCTTGCGGGCGGCTGCCATTGAACGAATATTGAGGTTCACCTGCTGATCAGCAAGTGGAACCACACTCACCATGCTATGTACAGCTACCTCCGGTCCCTGTCGGTGCTGCGATCACGTTACGTGAACATCCACGTTGTAAGTTGACAGCACTGTCCACCTGCATCTGGCTATCCATGAACAATGCGCACACTGTGCTTTAGTGATTATGTACTGTGGAATACACCGTTGAAAGAAACACATGTTATGTAGGTGTGGGCAATTCTTCTAGTGCTTTGAGTATTCGAAATAGCACTTCAGGAGCAGTTCAATGATTTTGTAATGTCAAACTTACTATCAAAAGAAAAATATGTTATGTACGCATGGGCTAATAGTCAGAATATCACTTCAAAACCGCTTCAGTGATTTTGTACTTTCAAATGTGCAACCGAAAGAAAAGTTCTTTATCTGTGTGGGTAAATATTCAAAATATCGCTTCATAAGCAATTCAGTGATTCTGTGTTGTCAAATACATTATCAAAAGAAAAGCATGTTATGTAGGCATGGGCGAATATTCTGGCTTTTCTATTCTAGCCACGAATATCCTAGCCACAAATATTACGGTATTCAAATTCATTTTGGCGCTAAGTTAAAATTTTCAGCACTTGAAGGTATACTGTAGGCTTGCACGAATAGTGAATTTCAGGTTCAAAGCGAATTCGAAGTGAATAGTGATCTTGATAGAATAATTTGGAATTGAATTCGAGTAGTATGTATGACATATAAAAAAAAAGAATATTTATCATGACCTAAGTAACCTGCATAATATTTTTTTTAATTGAAATAGGTGCTCTATGTCAATGCCATTTCTTTTTTAGTTCTAAGGAAGTTGAAACAATTTTGAGTAGTAGTTTTGGTAGGATGCAAGGGATGACCTCCAAGATACTTCACGTCTTAAAATTTATTATACTTTGAGCATATAAGCCGTCATAACAAGCTTACTCAAATGAATTGATTTGAGGGTAACATGTTCCTTTAAAGGTCAAATGAATTGATTTGAGGGTAACATGTTCCTTTAAAGGGTCCCTGCAACACTTTCTCAAGTAGCCATGGAGCCAGTAAACATGCGTGTTGCCTCACAAATTTACGGCCACAAAGCTTCTAGAATCGGTTCAGTACGAGCGGAGTTTTAAAAATTTGTCGCACGATGCAATCGCATTCTCTCTTCTCGTCCCGACGAAATAGCTGGAAGTTGAGCAGGCAGGAATGGCATGGTTAAACAAAATACGTCTCATGCACTTCGTGACCTTGAGCACCTTTCTTTTTTTCTTCGAATACGCGGATTTTCAGTGCGATTGCACACGTACTCGTGCAAAAATGGCGGCCTCCCGCGGCGGCGCCGCTAACGACGAGCGCGCCATGCTCGAATCGACCAATGGCTGTGACCAGAGCCGTATATTCTTTCTTGGCTGTGACGAGTGATTTTTGAGCTTGTGGTGTCATTTGCCAAGGGAAGAAAGCAATCTTTAGCTTTGAACATTTATTGTGAATTACAGGCCGCGTGCTGCGCTTTAATATTTGCCTCGACTACCGATCGGCAGCGTTTTCTGACCATGTTCAGTAAGTGTTGCAGGGTCCCTTTAAATTTGAAGGGGGCTTCGCGGCAAAGCAAATTTTTTGATAGGCGTTTTCATGGCTTAGCACTCCTACACTGTAGTGAAACCACCTCGACAGGCAGTGCATGCGGATTAATATACATCTATTCCTTCATTGCAAATACTTCGAAAATATTCAGTAATTTAAATTTGAATCAAAGTAAATATGAATACTCAACTATTCGTTCAAATATTCAAAGCATTCAAATATTCGCAAAAGCCTAGTATTTTGAAAGGAGGAATAGATTTACTGTGCTACTTGTACTCTCCCTGTAAAGGTGATTTCTAGTCTTGTGTGGATAGTAAATTTTGGGCTGAAGGTGAATAGTGGTTTGGTTCAAGTGACTTTAAAATAAATTCAGATGGTGTTTAATATGTATTTTATAGAAAAAATTAGCTTATTTGTAGTGACCCATCTCACCTGTGCAATATCGTTTTAAAATTAAAACAAAGAATGTGCAAACTTTGCTCTTTTTGGTTCAAGGGAAAAGGAAAACAACTTTGAATTGTAGCAGGATATGACGTTTGGTAGAATTAAACTGATGACCTGTGAAATACGTTACGTTTTAAAATTTACTATACGGAGACCATAAAACATGGCATGACAAGCTTTTAACTCAAAAAAAGGAAGAATACATTCATGTTCGTTCAAACATTCGAAGTACTCCAGTATTTGAACGAATCTAATTACTTGAACGAAATCGAAGTGCTCGAATGTGGCAAAAGTTCTCAACTGGTGGTCTTTTTTTTTTACCTGCCATGTCTGCTGGTTGTCGCACTTCACTTTTGACCTGCAGGTCATGGGATCAAATTCCGCCCACAATGGAAGCATTCCAATAGAAGAGAAAAGGCTGATGTGCTTTTTGTGCTCTATGTGCCTTGTGCCTATTGAAATGGTGATGCTGAACAAAACTCTCTCTGGGGGGGGTGGGGGCAATACTATTGCTAGTACAAAAATGTGAATAGTTGGCAACGTGCCGGCAAGCTGTCATTTGATGTGCACATATCTTGTAGTGTATGGTAATCTATATCTTTTAGTCTATGGTAGTATATGCTATCTGTGCTGTAATGTTTGTCTCTTCGTTCTGTTTGTCATAACTATGAAAACAGGGCTTTGCAGTATTGTTGGATGCATTTCTTCAGTATTTGTATGTATGCCTTATCGCATATCTATGCTGCATTTGTTGTTGACCAATGCCTGTCTCGTTTCTTGTATTGTAATTGCAGAAACTGTTCGAAGTGCCTGCTTTTACGCCAGAGCAGGAGTTGATACCCTTTGGGAGAGTGAACCACAACAAGTACATGGTCACCGATAACAAGGCATACATTGGTAAGTGCATTCCACTGGCATGAATCACGTCAGCGAGGGCGCAGGTCCTGGCCTCCCTTGTGTAGAATTGGTTTAGCAAAGGCAACACCGTGTTTAATAAGAGGTTGTCTGTCTCAAAAACATGATACTTTTGGCAGAAATATCAAGATATTTTTACACTGAAAGCTATACCAGATCGCAGAAAGGGCAGAATTTGGCACCATAGTTGTCGCCACTCTCTATGGTATCCATAACCAGTATCGCGTGAAATAAAAACACGCCGTCTTTGACGAAGCCATGTCACAACCAACATAGCCATGTGACAATACGTTTCATTTATCAGCAGTTCTATGTACTTAAAGGTGAAAAAGGGTGCAGAATTCAAGTACGAAAGCAACCACACTTGAGCCAAGTTATTCCATTCAAGCAGAAACTTCCTGTTATTTTCCTGTTAACCGATAGCTTACTCTAGTTTTATCAGTGAACAAAAGTTTACTGAAATGTATTCCCTTCAGTGGCGGTGTGTACAATTGTAGACATCAAATTTGGCACCACATCGGGTGCCTCCTTTTGCTTTGAATGGTGTCACATACCGCTTGAGCACTGATGGATGTAATCTGAGTGGACAGTAAGTGCCACCTAGGTTTGTAATAAGAAAGCTCAAGCCAAAACAACTACTCAAAATGGACACCTCAAGCTTTTGCGGGCTGGCACCTGAGTACCTTGCGGTTTTTGGTTAACCTGTGAAATACGTTTTGCAAAGATCATGCTCATTTCAACTGCGCAGAGAATGTTCTGGCTCTTCCAAATGATAAGTTTTTGCAGTTGTTGTTAAATGTGGCTCTCTGCTGTTCAGTGAAAATTTTGTGTGTGTACAATTGTACACATGGCGCTTCAAGGTTGCATCACCAGATTACCTTCCTTTTGCCTTTTATGTTCTTTCTAATTGATAATACTGAACTTTTATGCCTGTTTTTTTGTGTTATGGGTATTAAAGACTATTCAATATGTCGGCAAAGGGCAGACTACTTCGGCTCAACCTCTTTTAGCCAGAATAGTCGACAGGGACATCTCAGATGGCGACTTTTCAGGCGATGAGTTTTAAGAATCTGACTAAATGGGCTGAACGTTGCCTCTAGACAAAAGCAATTTAAAGTTTTTCCTGTTATGAACTTTTATAGCTTTTTAATTTTGTTATTGGCTTGCTTCAAGTGATACGCCCCATTGGCAGAACTCTTACCAGCAGACATTTTGAAGCTCATCGTTTGCATTTTTGACATTAGAGACATTTGGTGCATTCTCCGTAGTGACAGCGTACCGTATTGATTTTGTCCATGATCTCCCCCATCTGCAGGCACCTCAAACTGGACGCCCGGCTATTTCATCAACACTGGTGGTGTCGGTCTCGTCATGGACCAGTCGGGCAACAATGACACGTCGTCATCCCAACCAATCAGGGAGCAGCTGAACTCGGTGTTCGAGCGGGACTGGAACTCGCCGTACGCGCGATGGCTGTGATAGTCGCGGCACCCTTTTTCTTTTCTCTCGGTCTCGCTCAGCTCAGGTGGGTGCTCAGTCGTTGGTTGGGGCAGCTGTTGAGCAGCAAAGACAGTCCGTTGAACGTACTGGTGCCTAGAGACACGATTCAACAGCACGATTAATCGGCGCTTTTCATCGACGGTGGGACGAGTGAATGTTGCTGGGTGTGTTTCGACACTCATCGAGGGATTCAGCGTGGACAAGTCTTCTACAGCGGATTTGTGCGGATGGATTAGCTAAGTTTGTTGATTGTGAAAGGGGCCGTGACACCTTTTTTTTTTGTTAATCTATGTTGTATGTGTTAATCCTTGTGCGTTAGCACACAGGCTGGTGAAACTTCGGTTGAGCACTTAATTTTTAATTGAATATTTCTATAAACACACGAGCAGCCTGAGAGTTAGGCAACACTGGTACTCTCACAAGTGGTGACACAAGTTGCTTGCTGTGTGAGCCTCGCCCCGTCGCGGTGGTCTAGTGGCTAAGGTACTCGGCTGCTGACCTGCAGGTCGTGGGTTCGTATTCCGGCTGCGGCGGCTGCATTTCCGATGGAGGCGGAAATCTTGTAGGCCCGTGTGCTCAGATTTGCGTGCACGTTAAAGAACCCCAGGTGGTCGAAATTTCTGGAGCCCTCGACTACGGCGTCTTTCATAATCATATGGTGGTTTCGGGATGTTAAATTCCACCTATAAATCAATCTGTGTGAGGCTCTGCATCCCGCCAAAGGTTTACGTTCTGGGGTGAGCTGCATGTACACTCAAGCTATTTCAGCCTTGTTTCATCTTGGCATTAAAATTTAGAAATCTTCAGCAGCTGAAACGTTGGTGAAAGACGGTAGCTCTGCTCCATGTAACAATATGACGTCACACGCACTATAACAAAATGCCGTTAGCCAGGGACAAGTATGGCTCATAGCCAGCAACTTCTAGGGCCTATTTCGCCCTGAAATTTTCTTTTACAATCACTTCTTCATATATGCACCGGCAAAATTGACCCTTTTCTTATATTTCTTGCTGCAAACTGAAAATGGTTGCGTGACAGTGTCATGGCCCTTTGAAGTAGTGCAGCGTGTGTTCCTGCCTGTTCTGTTTGTTCAGCTCTAATGAACCGTTTGTTAGCTACGGCTTTGGAGAAACGTCCGAAGCATCATTAAATAACCTGTGCCAGTCAGGAATATAATTCTGGCATCATGCTAAACTGGCAGTGCATTTGGACAGGACGTCACTGCATGCTCACTGGAATGGAACTTTGCTGAACTAGAATGTTCATTCACTTGGATGGATTGACGCTCTGCAGCTGTTCTGATTGTTATCTGAAGAATTTCATTCGTGTAGGCACAATCTGGTGGCAAGTGATGTGAAAACAGTCATGTGCTTAGGTTAGGCACTTGTCAATGAATGTGTGGTGTATGTTGCAACCACCTTACCGTGTGACGTATCTTGTAGCACAAATGCTGCTCTCGATCATCCAAGCAGGACCTGTCAATCAAATATTGAAAGGGTGTTTACTGAGGATAACTGAATGGCGATTCAACAATGCAGTGAGAAGTACTAAATGGCCAGTAGTGTTACATTTGTAGTTGTCAGTTGTAAAACCAGCATTTCGGTCGTTACATGCATGTGCAGTCCACATACTTGATTAGTTGAAAATTGCAAAGAGTGGCTGGCCACGAGTTGCATGATAAAAAGATTTTATTGTACAGAGAGAGCATGTTTCAACTTTTATGCCACACATCCGGGAAATGTTACGAACAAATTTCGTTGTTGCATATATGTATAGTCAATGCTGTTCCAAGTGTTGACCATTTATGCTAGATGACAGGTGCAGATTAGTTAGTTGTAGGCAATGTTTGCTCTAGTTTCAAAGTTAATAACAATTATACTGTGTCAGAAGGCAAGCAAGTGCCTTTGTTTGCTTAGGGAGTTGGACAAATTTTCTGAGGGACGTACATCCTCTCAAATCCTTTTGCAAAATACTGTCTCCTGTCATTCACTTATGTAAGCAGCAACTCGTGGAGTGAAGTTAATTTGTTGCTTTGTGGTGTCACCATTGGGTGCACCATTAAGGAACACCCTTGTACATATCCAGCTCATATCTAGCAGTTATCACTTGTGTGGATATGTGCAGAGGTTTAGCTACGGTCAAATCTTGTAACGAAGCTACATCTGGCACAAAAAGGGTTTCTCTATATCTGAACATTTGTAGTAGCTGTATATTCATAACGGTTTTGAACACTGCATGAATTGCATTAATGTTGTTTAATGATTTTTTGAAATCCAGATTTGGTATACTTAGGTTTGCTTTGTACGGTAGAAGTACATTTTGTTTGTAGTTATATGCATATAACCGCTGAGAAAGTGGCTGACCGTACGAAGCGAAATTTTCTTTTAATATTCATTTTTGCAGCCAGGTTTCCTGAATTTTCTCATATAAAACTTTCAGCATTGTTGTACGTGATAACTTCTGATAGATTGTAATTCTCACCTATGAGCTCGCGAAGCCATAGCTTGTGACGGCCTCTCCTGACAAGATCATTTTCATGTCCGACCCATGCAGATGACTGCATGTAACCGCAAGTGTTCTCATTTGATCCTCACCACCTTGTCACTCATTTAACTTTAGCGCTACATGACTTGGTGGTGTTTCCTTTGTGATTGCACATGTTCTCTACTTGCTATAACACCAACAGGATGGTTATCTCTTCTAACCATTATACAATGTTTCTAGTTCCAGTATTTTCTTGTAATTTAAGACAGTACTGCATGAGCTAGAATTTTGTATAATGCTGTTTTTAGTAGCTCATTTGGCCTGGTAATGCCTTGTAATGTGGCGAAAGCTTGTTTTCTGTGAACTACATATTGAACAGAAAAAAGTGAACATCTTTGCCTCTGTTGAGCTAATTTACATGCAAGTTAAATATCGATACACCTCACGTGGGGAATAAAAGGCAAATCCTATACCTTTCCCTGCTATACTCCATTTCACCTCAACACAGGCTACTAAAGGATATGCTATGCTAATCTTTCAATTGATGCTTTATTTCACCAGATCAACTTGACATATCGCCACAGCAAGGCACAGTTCATTTTAAGATAACTGAGGATGTGCATTACTCATTAATTGTATGCGAGTGAACTCGATGTTCTCGTTTTGAAGTTCTTGACTGTTGATGTTTTTGTACAAACGTGACAGTTACTTAAGCTACTCATATATACATTCATTGCTCCTGACGTCTCAAGGATATGCTTCAATTTAGAATTTTACTTGGCCAGATGCTATTAAAATGGCCTTCAAAATATTTTGTTGTGCATCATGAACTGTGTTGGTACTGTTTTCTTTGGTGTGTTAGTTCTTACAGTGCATAAAATTAGATAGGCGAGGTCAACAAATTGTTCTAGTAATTGTTGCATAAACTTCTGTCTAGTAAGCCAACCTAATTTAAGAGAATGGAGCAATTCTTGCATAATATACACAACACGGGTTGCTCTTCTATAGAGATTTTCTTAGGCTCACGCTATCATCATCAGTGGCTGGAACAAGCGGACAACATTATTGCGGCAAATTTCAGGGGTGCGATAATTACTCGAGAGAAAAAAAATTGTATTTTTGTCGGGCGGTGTTGGGGGTGCGAGATTTATGCGAGTGCGAGGATTACGGGAGTAAATGCAGTAAACGACAGGATGAACACTTAATACACATTTAACCAATTTTTTATAAGCAATATCATCTTTGTACTGTACGTATTTTCAATATTTCACATTGATCCCATAAACTAAATGATAAGGTTTACAAAACCTTTTGAATCAGCGGCCACTAGAACCAAGAAAGCGAAGCTGGCGGATCCTCAAGAAACTGCCATGCCTCATCCGCAATCTAGGCAGTATAGCGTAATGCTCAATAATAAATCCCTTGGGATTTAAATCTCTTGGGTAAAATGAATTCAACACTTCCTGTTGGGCGCCCTGATAGTTATCTTTAAGTTGCTACTTTCACTTTGAGAGGTAGAATGAGAGGTAGAATAAACATGCATTTATTGAATATACAATGGGGTTTATGACAGACATGTAAGGAAATGTGGCTGAGCATTATCAGACATAAGCAATATTTGTACAAAGCTTACAAGCGGTCCAGTAGCAGCACTTCATGATGTTTGGACAGAAGTTTATAAATCATCCCCAACTTCAGCAGTGTCTTTCTGTAAGTGTCTAGTGTTTTTCCAGTTAATTCAACATAATTTAGAACAGGATGGATAGCCTTGCTCACTGTGATGTCTATTGAAAATTGTCTAAGCTAGAGTATTGAGGTATGACCTATGTTTACGGGGACTTAGTGGAGACGGCAGTTTTCGTGCGGACAACTTGATACCTGTGCTTTGCATTCATAGCTCCTTGGCTGCAAAAAGCCCTCTTGCACAGATGTTGTGAATGTGAGAAGAAACAGGCAGCCATTAACTAATATGCTATATGACAACGCATTTTGTATATAGTAACAATGAATTGTTCGTTTGACAATGTTACCAGTGCTGTCAGTTCGTTGCCCTTGGCTGTAAAAATGCTGAAACGTACGCATTCAATGTACCCCCTAACTATGCATGAGCTCCACGTAGGCTGTGTATCCAAAACGTACACCAGTGGCGCTACATGCTGCTGGGGAATCTGTATTTGCACTGACCTGTGATTTCTCGTGTATTTCCACGACAAGCAAGTGAAAGAATTGTGAGCTGTTTCAAAAGTTTGGTGTTATTGTTGGAAAGTGTAACTTGCAAAACAGCAGCGAACGCATATTCACACTGTACAGAGGAGTGCCAAGTAAAAAAATAAGTTGCCAATCCAATCTTTCATTTTGTTGTTGCCCCTTTTGTTTACTTTAATAATATTTTGTTGTGCATCTGTTTGAAATGAATGGACATTTTTCTGAATCTTTTCGGAACATTATAGTTGGATTTGTATTATGCGGACCTGTAAACATATTATGGGGACCTGTAAAAGTAGAACTCAGGCATGTACGTTCTTTAGAATTCTCATCGTCAGCCTGACAACACCCACTACATGACAAAGGCCTCTTCCATCATCCTCCAATCAGCCATATTTTGTGCTTTTTGCTGCCTAAATTGTGCCTCCAATCTTTCGAAACTCATCAGTCCCACCTAAATTTGTCTTACTACTAATCAAAGACAACCTCAAAAACATAGAAAAATACAGCTTTTCCAAAGGCTTCGAAGATTTATACTTTTTAGTGCCATTTTTTCTCAATATGCTGCCGAAATTGAGCTATAAAACAAGCGAAGTTTTTTACCACGTTATCAAGCCGTGGCGGTACAGTGGAGTCGGTAAGGTGGTCAGCTATAAACCTAAAGGTCACTTGTTCAAATCCCGGTGCCAGTAGTGGTGAAAGAAAGAATGCAAAGGGAAAAGAAGGGCAGGGAGGTTAAGCAGCCT